TGTCCAATTTTGGTGAGACTGTGTGAACTGTAGCCTCAGTTTCCTGTCCTTAGCTGACAGGACACCCAGCTGCACACAGTGTGGTCTTCTGCTGCTGTTGCTCATCTGCTTTAAAGTTCCATATTTGGTGCATGTAGAAAGCCTTTTCTGCATAAGTTGGTTGTAGTGAGTGTTTATATGAGCCACTGTTGCTTTCATGAGCTTGGAGAAGTCTGGCCATTCTCCTCTGACTTCTGACATCAACAAGGTCACACAAAGAACTGCTGATATTTTCTGGTTTTCACTTTCTGTATCGTGTGGAAAATCCCAGCAGGTCAAAAGTTTCTGAAATACATATGCCGCATTATGTGGAAAATGTACCAAGTATGTAGGAATGTAACATAAAATGTAATAAATACATTTTCATGGGAGTACTGTGAGTAATGTGGAGACATGACTAATGTTGGAAACAATGGAGCACTGGCAGCTAACAGAACCAGTTTTAATGTGTGCATGTGACTGCTGCTTTAAGACAGATGTGAAATATGTTGAATCTGTCCTTTAATCCCGACTGGATTGATTGGTTAAGGCAACACACTCACTTTTAACTCAACTCTGAATGTTGGATTAAGTGTACAGTAGAACAAATACCTTGTTTAATGTATTTTACAGTTGTAGCACATAGACAATTAACAGCTCAAATCTCTGCCAAAAGAATATATCAGAGATTACTGAATCAAAGGCTGGTTGCTTTACCTCATCTGGGCCTTCTAGAAAACACCAGAACAGGGATTAGATATTTAAAACAGATCCAGGCTTTTCTGATTAATTACAAACTGTTATAGGACAACAGAGGTTTTGTATGGTTTTGCTTTTTATTGGCAATAGAAAAACACAAAGTACAATTATAGTGCTGATACAAAAATTAGCAAACCTGTTGTATATATTGAAAAAAGTTTATGTTTCTCTCAGAGATGCATTTTGTATTCACTCACGATTCAAAGCTGAATAGTACAATATCATATATGTTTTATATACATTCATTTTTCCCACAACGGTTCTAACATTAACATCTTAATGCCAAATGTATCTTATCTGATATATACATGGGTGTCAAAAAATAATTAGAATTTTCTTACAATTATTTATGGTTCAGCCTTTAAAAGGATTAGGATACAGTATTATTCTGTATTGGTTAACTGTGCACATGACCAAAGGATGATATACGATGTCTGACAGTTCGTTGAAGCGTCCGCTGTCCTCTCTGATCTTCCTTTTCTCGCTTAGCGATCTGTAAAGAGGCAGGAGTTATGATGATTCATGTGCATAACCTGTGAAAGTGTATGCCATTTTAAGAGCATGTTGTGTAACTTCTTACGCATTAAATCCAGCCTCCTCATCTCCTTCTGCACCCAGTGATCATTTGGATTGGCACACACAGGTTGTTCCCTCTTCTTCCACTTAAACCTACACATATGAGTATCGTTATTAAAAATCTGTGGATAAATGGGGATCAGTCACTTCCTCGGTCTGTGCCAAGTCATTATGATGGAATTTGACAAAATGTGCCAAAAGTGAAGGACTTCACAGTTGATACTCACAAAACAGCTCTGATGTTGCAGTCCCCATCTGTTTCCTGCATAGTGTAACTGACAAGGTATCTCTTCTTTTTTATCTCATGAACGTAGCCGAGGCAGCAGTTGGCATACGAGCCTGGAGAGAAAGTTAAAGAGAATTACGATCAAATAAACCAGCCCACTGGAATTTGACCGTTTTGATGATTTGAATAGATCTGAACGTCTGCCAGAGCAGCCCAGGAAGATTCCCACATCCCCTTACTTGGGGATCTTTTTCAGGATCTATTTCAGCAAATTTCTCTCGCTCCACTGCTCACCCCTCTCCTTGGTTTTATTGTTGTTTTTATCTGACTTCACCTTAACCTCAACATCTCTGCCTGAACTGATGCTGCTGATTGAGAATTCCTCTGAACAAAGCCAGCTTGCACAAATACTGAGAAAATACGATGTCTGTAGACCTGTTGCACTTGGCAGCAGCTGCAAATAATTTCACAGCATGCACAGAAAAAAGTGAAAGCACTTGAACATAAAAGGGCTGGTTTTACATGAAGTATTTGGATCCTTTAGGAATCTTTACTTTAATCAAAGTAGCAATAATAAAACACAGTATAAAGGTATCAGTAGTATTTAGTCAGATAAGTAGTACTCATTTCAAAATCATACCCACATTACTGGTTCATGATTATGTCTGTGTCCCTTGAACGTTGCAGCTGCATCAAAGAAACAATCATTTTAGAAATAAACATACAGTACTTAATAAAATGATTTTGTTTTAGTCCAACTTTACTTTTCTTTTATTATTTAATTGTTTAAGGAATTTTTTTAGAATTTCATTTATTATTTAAGTCCTCTGTAGACATGACAGCTGTCCTTATGTCCTTTTAAAAATTCTGCAGATTGCCACATTCAAGTGATCTGTAAAAGCAAGATGACTGAATACATGTGCATTTAAAGAGTTGTGATAAACGGCTTTGAACAGAATCTCATTCACTGAAAAATTGTCCTCACAGTTTCAAAGAGATGTGGCTTCAGGAGCTGTGGTTAAACGAAGACAGGTCATAAAAAGAGGCACTCAGGTGCATATTTTCAGTAATTTGCTTTGTCCAGAAAATGCTTTTGAGATACCATGAAGAGCTGCATGGTTAAACTTTTGTGAATTCTCTTAAAAAATAAATTTTTAAGTGGAAATGTTGAAGTAGTGATTTGAAACCAGACAATTCTGTTTCACTTACCTTGTGCCAGACTCAGGTACGTGCAGAGGAAGAGCAGCATGAAAACAAAAGCATGAAACTTCATGGTTGCTGCTGCTGTTCTTGTGTTGCAGACTGCACAGAAAGTTAGAGGCAGAATCTATCACCCCCAAATGTTGGGCAAATATATAGTTTTTTCTCAAATCCCTCCCTCAGTGCTATTATGAAAGAGCACAGAGGGAGGGATTACTTTTTGTTTCTTTAGCTGAATCAACACAAAAAATCCCAAAGATAACACAGTTTGACATACATAAAGAAAGAGCTATTAGCTAAAAAAAATAATAATAATAAAAAATCAGCAAGTGTCCCCTTTAAAAACTGAGGATAATCTAGCTTTCAAGTGAAAGGCTAGCTCAATTGTTTTGAAAGAAGAAATATGACCCGGTTCATCAAAGGTCATAAACATGGTACTTGAGTCATGCAAGAATGATGAACTAAATTGAGGGGCATTTTTTAAATGTAAAATATTGTATTTTATTTATTTATTTTTCCATTCATTTTTGTAATAGTGTATCTATTTCAGGCACGCAGAGGGACTGAAGCTTAGGTAGACCCTGGAAAGGTCGGGGCTAACGTAGAGAGACACAAACATTCACATTTACACGGCTGCCAATTAACCCAACATGCATTTGGAGTGTGGGAGGAAGCCAACATGAGATCCAGCCATTAATCAAAAGACATCAGTGTAAATTTGGGGAAGCCTTTGAGCTGCAATCTTTGGGGATTCAGAGAAGAGCCAGTAGCACCAGAACAACAGTTAACACTATTAACTTTAATACTTAGACAAACATTAGAGTCACATATTATACTACATAAAAAGACAGAACATACAGTAACTGTGGCTGTGGAAATCTGTGGCTTGTCCCACATAAACTGAGAAAGTTACATTTTGAGCTCCATCTAAATTTTTTCACCTTTTTATCTTATTTGTATGTACAAACTGTTTCCATTTAAATCCTTATTTAAATAATTGTTCAATAAAATTAATTTTTAAGTCATAGTGATCAAAAAGTGTTTCAGCAGAGAGAAAATCAAGTTCACACATTACACATAAAGAACTTGTCTGGCAGTACCTGTAGTCTGGCTTTGATGGCAGTTATGGATTTGTCCAAAACCAAACGCTAAACAATGAATGTTCATTAGAACAACCGAGATCCAGCCACTCATTAGAGCTTTCCAGCCACACATACGTATTTGTCAATATATGTGGCATTGTTGTCACACTTCTCTCTTTTCCCTTTTGACTCTTCAGCATGGAACTCAAAGGTAACTGGATAAACATCATTTTAAATATTATGTTTCCATCCAAGTATGAAAGTTTTTAATACTTGGAGGATTTAAGCCTTGTCACCCCTCCTATTGATGGTTTACTTACTCAACAGCTCACACAGTGAACTGTGATATAATAAAGGTTTTACGCTGGTCTATGAATGCAAATGTTTGTAAATAATATAATTATTTATTTATATATTATTTTATTCCTTATTCCACAGCTATAGTGATCGTAATTACTGATTTTATACGTAAAAAAAAAACACGTGGCAACATGATGCATTTAGTGGATTTTATTTTATTCGTTTATTTAATTCATTTAATGTACATAATTCACCTACTTGCTGCACATAATGTCCCCCTTGGATATATTCATTAATGTATATAATGTTCTTCTCTCCCCTTTTGCACAGTCGAGGAGCGAGTCAGGATACATTTCACTGCGTGTTGCATTTGACAAATAAAGAATCTTGAATCTTGAATGGCTCGAGTGTGCCATCTAGTGTTGGTGTGAATGACTTCTTGCAGAAAATGATCTTGATCATCTGTACAAGTTTCTTACTGATAGAAGAAGAAGAATTAAAGTATAAGAGAGTACACTAGATCTGAATTAGATTCAGATCTACTTATACTCTCAAGTCCGGTTTTCCTTAACTGGCATAAGATATCCCTTTATTGTTTGAAAATGTAAATAGTTTAAGATTTTAAGATTTTGAATCCTAATTTCATAATCAGTCTGCTTATTTTTTCACCTAAAAGAAGCCCATCTATGCAAATTTAACACATTGATAGAAAACAGGAACAGGATCAGAAACAGAACATTTTACTTTTGAGATGTTCCCAGAGAGGTGGAGTCTGAGACCTGACACAGAGACATAGACAAACAGGCACACACAGACACAAGCATGCATTCTACCCTCATGCACTCAGCACTCACCCAACATGGAGACAAACAGAAATGAACACTGTACACACACTCACACTCCCCAAACATACTTCATACCCCCAGGTCCAGATACCAGAAGATGTTGCCCATTGCACAGGAGTGGAGACAAGCAGACTGCCCCCAGCCCTGCAGCAGCAGGGAGGCCCAGCATCCCAGACCCCGACCAGACAGCCAACTCCAGCTACCGGCCCCCCGCCCCTGATGGCGAACAGAGAACGCCATTGGGAGAACTTTAAAATATACACCGTTCAATATTGAAGAGAATGTGGCAATTTTATGGATAATTAAAGTTAGTAATATATCCACTAATAGAACAAGCTGAAAGTCTGTAAAGGCTGCCTGGTTTTCAGTCCCGAATGTCACGCCACAAAACGGATTCACTGCACTGTTATTTTGCTGCATCTGTTCGGTGGCGTCGAGCCAAACAGACTTTCACCATTGTTTTAATGAGCTGAGCGCGAGCCTGTCACCTGTCTGTCTGTCCTGCACTCTCTCTCTGTTTCTTTCTCTCTGATTGTGGAATAAAAGTATGAACATGTATTTATAAGTTACACTTGTGTTTGAATCCTGCAGCTTATCACACATTTGATTTCCATCTGTGACAACTGCAAGTGTCCAGAGTGAGGACAGACTGAGGGACCCACTGCTGCACATCATCTGTGAGGCTTTGCACCCGATGATCCAGGAAGAAAGAGGAGGAGGAAGAGCCAGCAGCAGCTGGAGTTGCAGAGAGTAGACAGACTGTTCCTCCTTCGTGGAGGACTGCTACAAATGTTTAAAATTACTAATTATCTTTCCTGAATCAGTCTTATTAAGTAATGTTAAAATAATTTTATCATTCAAGTGTTTTCAGTGTGAGAGAAAGTACTCGGGGCCTGCAAGTGAAACACTATCAAAGGCAGTAAAAAAAATTTATTCAGAAATTCTGAAAAGGAATCAGCAGCAAAATGCACCGGACACAGCTATTCTAGCTCTCCTACGTGTTGCACTTTTCTTCTTCTTTTTTCTACCTCTACATCCTCTCTCTGGCTCTGGTGTCACCTTCTGGTATGATAAGGTACTACATAAACTCTACTGCAAACACCTCCTGATCATTAAATCCCCAACAACTTTTTTTTCTTTCTTTCAAGATGCAGATGATTATCGGCATTGCAATGCAAAGAATGATCTTTAAAACAAAATTAATTACTCCACCTCTGCTTATTGTAATTTGTCTGGATTGTGCAACATCTGCAACATCATGCTGATGAAAAATCACGTGTTGTCTAAACTTTCATCTTAATTTAGTTGACTGAGATTTGTTAGTCAGTTCAACTGCTTTAATTGTCATTTTTACTTGGGAAAACTCTTTCAACTAAATTAAAATAATCTATTGTTTAAACTCTTGTCATAGTTCAGTTGACTTGGGTTTTTTAGTTAATTCAAATAGTAGTTCTTTTAACTTAGGAATCTATTTTATCTATTAATCTATTTTTTAATCTATTTTAGCTTTACTAAAATAATCTGTTAGCTAAGTTTATTAATTAACTGAGCTCTTTAGGGTAGCTGTGTGAACTCGTAAATCAGTTTCATTTTAATTATCAGGGTTTGATTGACTGGATGTAAAGAAAAATGTGTATTGAACATCTTAAGTATTTTTTTTTAGCTTTCCAACATCCATTTCAGCAAAACTACCTGTTAGGTTTATCTTAGATCTCAGGTTTAAATATCTACATTCCTTTAAATTAATTTTCTGTTGTTTACAGAAAAAAATAAAACCCCACATATTCCATTAAAGTGTATCTGATCATTTCATGCAGAAAGTTTGTTTCAAGAACATGGCAAGACAATTACTCATGAGCACCCAACATTCACCAGTTATTGTGCCATCTTAGTCATCTGAGAAACAGAAAAATCAGTGACGTAGCTCATCAGGCTCACAATCCATCAAAACTCAAAGGTTGCTCCCTGTGAAACAATAAATTTGAACTGGGTCTTGAGCCCAGTTTGGGTGAAGACAGATTGGGTGATTATTTTGCACAAGTTTGATTCAATTCTGACCAATACTTTAGGAGCAGTAGTGATTCTTGTGAATTGCGGACAGCTGGTCAACCAAACACTCACCATGGCATGAGCTTATCAGACTTTCAACAGGATGAGATATAAACTGCTGTGTTAAAATTAACAACATAAAGTCTGCATTAATGCAGACTTTATGTCAACGGGACACTTGCCATTTTAGAAAAGTTGTTCTTTACATTTGCAAAACTTTTAAACTTCATTGTGCTCAGTCACACCTGTTAGCATAAAACTTGAAATATTAAAATAGTACAAAACCTTTGATAAGTGACAGTAAAGATCAGTTTATAACAACTAAGACATCAAACTCTTGTATTTGAACAAATTCCACAGAACCAATTTCACTGAAAATGAGTTCTGCATGCTTCTGAAACATTTGATAATATTTCACAAACATTAGTTTGACTCTGCTCAATTGCAAAACAAAGGAAAAACTACTGACTTGCATGAGCATCTGCAGAGTCCACCATTATATTGTTGATAGCAATCACGTGGGACAGTTTTGAATCCTGCTGTGCTCAAGTTCCCCACATTGTCAAGTTCACATAAGTTGCTGATTTAGCTGGACATGAGTTTTCAAGTTAGCTTTTTTTTCATGTAATTGGGACGTTTTTAACTTGTAATTCTATGTTATAACAACAACTTCAGTCATCTATCGTCAAACTGATATAGAATAATATGTTACAATAACAAACATCTAGAATTACATTTTACAGTGTGTGGTTCCTGAGGAGGAAGAATGAGGAGCAGAGAGAGGTGGTCAAATTGTCACAGTTGGGCGAGAGATGTTGCCCAACTGGGCAAGAGAT